GGCTATTCAACCAATTCGTCCATTAGGAGTAGAGATGCATAAATCATACATACTACTCCCTTCGTTCTGATTTACTCATCGTAATTTTAGCGATTTTAGTGTTCTGATTTACATATGATGAGTAAATCGGAACGGAGGGAGTAATACTTTAATGTAACAACGGTTATCTCCATGATTTGCTCTAGGTAGTTATTGCCTCTCTCACAGTACATAAACTTTTAAAAAATAGTACGTATGAATAGGATTTCTGATAATTTAACGATGAAAGTGTGTCAGTGTTTAACTGAAAGTTTAGGATTTCCTTGGTCGGCGATTTATCGGTAACTACATATTGTAGTGTGCATGAGTGACTTTGGAATAATTCTTCATTTCGTTGACATATTCACTAGAGATGAATATCTACAGGTTTCATGTAGGCAACCGAATATTTGGTGTAAACTGAGAACCCGTTGAAATTGCATATTGTTTTGCCTCACAATTTTATTTTATTTTATTTTGCATTTTCTTTTATTCTGGTTGCTATGATGGCGTTTAGGACCCTTCTAAGTGTACCTTTTGAATTGTACCGAGCACTTATATATTCCTCCCACAGTCATGCTGATTCATTCCATCCTCAAAACCTTGCAAATTTTGGAGCACTAGTTCTGTACAACTGTGCCAAGGATTTTTGTCCTTTCATCTCCTTGCCATGAACAACTTCTGCACTATTAAGTAGTGTTGACGTATAAATGTGTTGCCTAGTCTCTTTCATCAAATTGCATTGGCTAGAGCATGCACTTCTACAAATAGAAATAACTAGTGGAAGGACTCTTCTCTAATGCTTCATATATCCATATATGTGAATTCACAGATTAACTTTCGGTCTTTGACATGAAATTCAGGTATACCGCATATGGAATAAGATCTTTGGCAGACGAGCAGAGTCAGCTCATGACAGAAGCCATGAACACCTCCGTGGAGAACCCATGGCGCCTGCCGCCATCTTCTCAAACGACTACATTCCCGCTCTCAAGCTACTCTCCTCAGCTTGGAGCAACGAGTGACCTGGGTCAGAACAACAGCAGCAACAACAACAGCGGCGTCAAGGCCGAGGGACAGCAGCAGCAGCAGCCGCTCTCCTTCCCGGGGTGCGGCGACTTCGGCAGCGGCGACTCCGCGAAGCAGGAGAACCAGACGCTGCGGCCGTTCTTCGACGAGTGGCCGAAGACGAGGGACTCGTGGTCGGACCTGACCGACGACAACTCGAACGTCGCCTCCTTCTCGGCCACCCAGCTGTCGATCTCGATACCCATGACGTCCTCCGACTTCTCCGCCGCCAGCTCCCAGTCGCCCAACGGCATGCTGTTCGCCGGCGAGATGTACTAGGCCGGCGGCGTCATTCTCGTCGTCGTCGTCGTCCCGGTTCTCCATAAGATGACACTAGCTACCTACACTGGGTGAAAACTAGGCCGCCCCGGTCTCTGCAGGTGACTTGAACCGAGTGAATGGCGTGCGGGTTCTTCTGGCCCCTCGCGCCCATCCGCCATGCATGCAGTAGCACCAGGAGCACCTCAACCCTATATGATTCTGTAATTTACTACCAGTATTTCTCGTGTCGGATTTGTATCAACAGCGAGTCGAAAGCTTCATAATCGCATCATGCGTGTTTGATTAACCCTCATCTGTGCTGAAATCGCCGCTGACTAACGCGATGCTTGTTGTGAAAGCTTCATCATGGGATCGGATGGCTTTGCTTGCTTGCAGATGCAACGAAGATGTGGCAAACTAGCTGTACTGGTGGTACAGTCTACGCAGGTCGGGTGTTGTAGTGGGGCGCGGCCTGGCGCCCTTTTCCCGGACACGATGAGGCGGCAGGAACAAGATCCGTTGCGCTGTCACCTGGAGCCTACCCGTGCCGTGACAAGCGATGTCTGTTCGTTGGTCACCCCCGTTCCCCACGCCACCCTCGCGTCCCCTTTTAACATAGTACGAGTAACAATGCTGCTAGGGGCTCCACCCCGCTTCACGTCCTTGGTGGTTGGTTGCCTCACGAGTGCTGAGGCGGGCGGGGACATGGGCGGTACGAGTACTGTGCATGCATTGCGGGCTGAGGGTTACGGGTGGACGAAAGCTTGGGGTTTGGGAAAGGGAGCAATAATCGCAGCAGCGGCGGTCGTGGTTGTGGCGCAACCACCGGCCGGCTGGGCTGGATCTGCACTGTGCCGGGCTTCCAAGCTTGGTGGACGAACGACAGGCTGTGCGCGGGGCCACCCGAGGAGCCACCGCCGCCTCCATGTGTCTCTCGGTCTCTCCTCCGTGCTTCCCTTCCCGTGCGTGCGTGCGTGCGTGCGTCGGGCCGCGTTGCATGTCCGGGGCAGTGCTGTGTATGCGACATGAGGCCAACGACCTCAAACGGACGTCTGTTTTGTCCGAATTCTGTCCGTTCGGGCAGGGAGATGGAGTCGTGTCCGGGGGTGTTCTGAGATGCGATGGCCGTGCGCCTAACGCGTGGCCGCATCCGTTTGCCTCATCATGTCCGCGTCTATTAAAAAAACGTTTCAAATACCAAGCCCTAGTTTTTCAGGGCAGCGGCCCCAGTCTCATGGCCGTATCAAGGAAAGAACTAGGATGAGGAGACCATACCATGTCCCCAACGCCGAGACCACTCACGGACCGTGCTTCAACGCTCTCAAATGTGGCGCAATACTTGTTGCATTGTTGTTGGATGAACAACCACCTCATTTGAATCGAGCCCATGCCACGGTTGCTTGTAATTTGGAAGGGCTCAAACATCTTCCTTTAATGGAATGTTTTGTGCACTCTCGTCCAAAATTAAGGCCCTTTTGTTGCGCACCGGTCCTCGAATCTTGGCTAATCTCCATCCAACATTGGCAAATCAACTTGTCCTCATCTTGTGTATAAGAACCCGTGCGAATGCTCTTCCTCCTCTTTTGTGCTTCCGCTATTTGGATGAGCTCGTCGATGAACAATGGCTCGCCACTAATATCGTCATTGCCTTCTTCTTCTTCACCATTACCTTCGCAATAGATTTCATCGTCTTCATGCCACGAGTCACCATGGTCGTAGTCAGCATGGTCGTCGGCCTCTTCATCGTCGACGAACTGGGCGCGGCCATCCTGACTTTGGGTCTCCCCGGGGTCGTAGGCACGGCCCTGCCCACCCTCGAAGATCACGTCCTCCATATACTGGTTGTAGAAGGGGTCGTCGACCGGTGGCATTGGTGTTGGCATTCCGTCAAACAAGACGCGGGGGGCTGGCATGGAGCCCGTGAACGGTGCCCGTGCTTGCTTTCTTAGCATCTCAACGGACGGACGGCCGCCGCTGCTGGTCCCAGGCGTGACGTATAGGTGATGACGGCCGAGGGGCGCGGTGTGGATGGCGCGATCACGCCAACGTCCGGCGACCCTGAGAAACGGGTCCGGGCGTCGTGCCTTGGCGAAGAAAAGCCGGACGACATGGCTGTGGTCCGCGACGTCGGCGACTGGCAGTTCGGAGGCTGGGCGACCGACGAGTCAGTGCTCACCGGGCCGACGACCGTTGCAGGGAAAAGTTTGCGCCAAGCATGAGGAGGGTGTGCGGTTTGTTGACGATGTCCTCCTTCTCGTCGACGATGTCCTCAGCGCCAAGTTTAGGATGAGTCAAAAGCGGATAGAAAACGGACAAAAGTCCGTTTGCGCCCACGCGTTGGGTCGTTTGATTTATCCATTTTACTCCAAACGAACGGGACCGGACAGGATGGGGTCGCGCAGAGCGCGCTGCACTGCAGTTGACTCGAGTTGTTCTGGGCCGATGCCCCTTCGCTTGCACGGCCGGCTCGGTGGTTTCGCATCTTGCGGCAGGTTAACGGAGCGAGCGAACAACTGCCAAAAAAGAGGGAAAACAGAGGGAGCACTAGTGGTTTTGGTTGTAGGAACGGGGACCCGATCGACCGCACGGACCGGATACCGGGGCTGGCCCTGAGTTAGGCTCCTGTCCTGTCCCCATTTTTTTGAGGGGGTATTGCTGCTTGCTGACTACTATAAAATCACGTCCGGTCCCGGAAACAGATCGTGCATCCTTGGTGCAGTACATGTACATGCCATTTCTCACGCAAGAAGCTGGATCTGGTTCAACGCAAGGGGGTAAGAACGCGGTGGCATCCAGCTACGCCTACGCTACGACGAAGTGTCGCCGCCTGCCTCGTCCCGGTCGATTCAGATGGGGCGGGCGGGCAGTGGTCACACTGCCCGCGTACGGACGCTTGCTCGCTCCCTCCTTGCGACGGACGGATGCGGCGCGGCAGGAGGGGCGGAAAGGAGGCCGCGTGCACTTGGGGGTATGCGGTACGTACGATCCTGTCGTCGACATCGGCGCCGCGGTACAGGACAAGCGAGGTACTACTGATTCTGCAATGATCTCACGGGTTGTGACTCCACTCCTGTGAGCGAGTAGAGCTGCCTGTGACTCCATACTTTTGCGTTGCTGTTGGCTTGTTGTGTAGTCTGTAGTCTGTGGTCTGTACTATACTACAACCGCAGCGGATGAAGTGGGTCTGTGTGCCCTCCAGCGCGTGTGGGGGTGTGTGCGCGTCTACGTCAGTACGTGTGTCTGCCTTGGTGCCTTGTGACGAGTTTTTGGTGTGTATGTATTGGTAGTGCTGGTGGTAGAAGACTCTGTAGATGTGTGTATGCGTGAATGGCACGAGAATCATTTCGTGAGGGCAACTCCAACGCGGATTCGTATGTGCAGTATGTTCCTTCATTATATATGTACTGGTAGATTATTGGTAGAAGACTGTAGTAGATATGTGTGTGTACGAATGGCGTGAGAGTCATTTCGTAAGCAAAAGAAATAGGAGACAGAGCAAAAGAGGCAAGCCAAACTGGCACCTTTTGTTGAAAGATCAGACCAAACGTTAAGCAGTCAATGAATATGAATGCACGGATTATTCACTCATAAAAATTAACAGGACTAAACCCTAAGAAAATAACAGGAGTAATTAGTGGTCCTACGTGTTAGAAGAGAGAGAGAGAGAGGGATTGTTGCAGAATATGATGGATGTGTTATTGAGCCTCGATGACGAGTATATATTGAGTACAAGTCTTGGAGGGCAAGAAGCCTCTCCTGAAGATAAGGTAGGAGACGGATTACAAATCCTAAATTACCAAATACAAGTAACCCAAATATATATCTAACATTCCCCCGCAGTCGTAAAGGTAGCGTCGCAGACAACAGGAGCGTCTCAGACGGTCAGACTGGAGAGAATAACAGACGACGGGCTGACAACACCTCGCAGTCGTAGCAGAAGCGTCGTGGACGGTGTCACGTCGCGGACGTGTTGACTGTAGAGGAAGCCGACGATTTGCTCAAGCGGATGATAGCCCTTTGTGCCGATGTCGAGGTAGCTGAGAGCGTAGGGTGGTGTAGCCGTGTTCGAGGTAGCCGTGTGAAGAATGTCGTGGTCGATGTTGAGTTGGGGTAGTCGGTGTCGAGGAAAGCGCCATGGAGCCGCGGGCGCAAGGAGGCGCCGAGTTAGCATGGCGCAGTGATGTCCAAGTAGGGGTGCGCCGGGAGGTATACGGTGTTGATGAAGCGTCGCGCCAGGTTTGCCGGCGTCGCGCCATGTTTACCAAGCCCGGGGACACGTCGTGGACGAAGGCACGCACCGGTGTTGCCAGTACCGGGCATGCATAGACGAGTGACCCGCACGAGCTGTACGCCATGTCGGAGAAGTCGGAGGGGCCAGCAGCTGAAAAACTCGACGACGATTGCGGTGTTCCATCGGCGCGGGGCCGATGTCACCAGCGGTGGTCGGAGTAGATGACGGCGACGCTGGCGACGAGCTGGTGCTGGGATGAAGACGAAGGGGGTGGACGGGCGGCGGCGGCTACGGAGATAGCGGCGGCAGCGACTAGGTTAGTAGTGCGGCGGCGGTGCTCGAAGTAGGTAAGGAATCCGACAACGTGACGAAGACCGGCGCGGACAATGGCGTTCCCGAGCTAAGGGAGCCGGCGCGGCACATACCACGAGAGGTCGACGCACAGGGACGGCGGTGGACCGCGGGCCACGGTGATACGACCCAAAGGGACGACGCAGCGGCGGCAGCAGGCGAGACGGGGCGACGATGGGAAGACCTCAGGGCGGCAGCGGGGACCGCGGGCCGCGGCGCTACAACCCAAAGGAGAGGCGCAGCATGGGTCGGTGCAACCGCGGGGACGGCCTCGGGGTGGCAGCGGGGACCATGTTGAAGGAAATATGCCCTAGAGGCAATAATAAAGTTATTATTTATTTCCTTATATCATGATAAATGTTTATTATTCATGCTAGAATTGTATTAACCGGAAACATAATACATGTGTGAATACATAGACAAAACAGAGTGTCAC